AAATAATATCAGGATCATTCATCTGGAAGGTCGGTTGCTGATCTGATGGTCAATCACTTACTTCCACGAAAGCGATGGAACTCAACCCTATCGTGGTATGGTACCAGAGTTACTTTTCTCCTTAACGATAACCGTCAAGCTGTATTTTAGTCGATCATTTCAAGCTTCATAAAAGATTTTTGGTCCGTACTTTGACCATTACGTGATATCCATGACGTAGCATTGGGCTGATACGAACGACAGATAACAATCATCATGGCATTATAAATTGTTAGTCAGCTGACTGTAGTGGATGACCCCTCGGCGGGGGGAGGGGTATTATATGACAGCGTAGATAAACTTGTGGCGCGTGCAGCCGATACCAAGCAAAAGATCAAAGGTCATAAATCGAACTGCACCTATGCCATCGACCCAACTATTTTACATTTATTTAGGGATTGTACAACGTGGATGAGGCGCGTACTCAACAAAGATGTCGACGGAAGTCAGGCCAACATAGGAACTGCAATGCCTCGTGCAATGAGACGAAATTCCTTTCAAAAATCTGTTCTAAGAGAACTGGATGTTCCACGACCTGTTTTTGATCACAAATTCTGACGTCACCGACAGCAACCTCTTTGCATAGAAGAGTCTGATACGTAAAGTTATGGTATATATGACAGCATTCGACCGCGAGCCAATGGCAGGAACTCCAGGGCACTGTAACAAGGATAAGGAAAGAGCGAAATAACAACGTTAAATACAAATCTGAACCAAGATTCACAGTCTATTTATTCAAATTTTGATCATGACCGCCTTACTTTAGGTTGAAACACGGCTTCCTTCAGGACAAGCGTGAAGTCACCAACAAATTTCTCACGACCAAAAAGATTTGAGGGATCAGCTAAGGTGCAGGGTGGCTGTAAACGTCGACCTGGCGTATTTCTCCTGGCACTGGTTATCCAATGCCTTCTGGACATTTGTTAATTGATGCATACCGACTCGTCATATCCACTTACTGAAGCTCAGCCCTGTGACAAACTTAGATGAGATCGTATCATATTTAAAAGGCCTTGACAAGTCGTTGATATCAATCTGCTCATAACAAAACAACGACAAGTGCGATCTATTAATTTATTCATAAGCAGCCTAATAACACAAAAGTTTACCAAACCAGGTTATATTATTACTGCATTGTTCCCTGCTTGGTATCTACATCCACGTATGACCATTCGAGCAGGTCAGAGGTACTACCCGAATGTGTACTGTACCCGCACAGTGCTACATGTGCTCGGTGTGATGAATGTACAGTGCTACGTGCATCGCGCATCATCGTACTCGCTGGGACAAAGCAATGATACTAAAGGTATTGTCATTCCCAATATTCTTATGCAAATCATTACAAACACGGACTGACTGATCGGAATTACGTTACCACGTGCATAACTCCAACCAAATAAATTTTACCAGCACATAGTCCATGTACGCTTCAGGAGAATACCAAAATATGAGTCCTCTACACGGAATACATTATAAACGCACAGCTGGATGAAATCATGCGATTCACACTTGTCATACGAGAGTGAAACAATTTTATAGGATAACATGCACGTTAATAAACTGCCACAGGACGGCCATAACATTTCTGTAAAACGCTAAGCAACGTACTAAGAATTTTATCAAGATATTCTTGCTCTGGAACGGGAGGGGGGGGGCAATAACTCGTGCAGGACGAAATATGGTGGAAAACTTTTCGTTCCATATGCAAATCTCTTATGTACCCTTAAATTGCTGGCCAAAGAGACGGTGGTACTGGTAAATTTGTTCATCAGAGAACATCCTGAGTAAGAAGATGAACTAAGAAATTGAGGACCATCGTTCAGTATTGATATGAAACGTGAAAATGCGGCAAAATCTAAAGCAGCATTACGCTCTATGTCGTATTCGAATCAGGACTATCACAAGTCACAAGTCGGATATGAAAGACTTGAAAGATGTTTGATAAATGATACATAAAGATGCAATGAAAATAAGATCTATCACGCAATTCGAATAATTATGATTGTGACAACAATGCGAAAGGACAAAATATTTCAGACTTCTAGATTTTATTCTTGTAGAACTTTGCCGCTTGTCACAGACAAATAAAATGAAGCTTTTCATGAATGCAATCATTCGAGTTCCCGTTCATTCTGCACAACGTATAACAATTATACTCATGGAAACGGATGTCAGGGCTTAGTACCATGATACGAATCTCACAGTCGATACTGCAACTGCGAAGACATATCTGCCACACAAATGCAAAACCAAAACATTGTTAACACGAAGCTTCAATGAAGAGATCAGAAGTCGAGTACTAATTATTGATTAAGTTTCAGATTACAAACATTTAAAATTAAGATTACACGTGCTGATTATCAGGCAGCGATCAGGTTATCAAGCTGTTCGTTAGAGAGCACGGCTACGTCTCACACCTTCTAGTACGATCACATAAAAAACCAAACTGTCTCCATCGTTCGCACGTCAGGTCTCGTTGTACAAAGGGATAAATTCGTTACTCACTGGAATTAACAGTCGAAAAATCCAGCATCATAAGACGACAAATGACAACTGCTATCTACAGGGTCACGGGGTCACTGTTCTCATGGTGAGCAATTTTTGGTCTATTACACTTTGGCTTACCTCAGCAAACAAGTCTGAACAAATAGATGATCAGAAAGACTCGAAACGTTCAAAGAATGGCCAGTCACAATTACGCACCTCCAACAGCACTGCTACTGGACAAAGAGTTTACACTGAAATCTAAATCTAAAAATCGAGTCAGTTTTTTCTCCTCGTAAACCTGAAACACCAACAATGGAATTTTGCATATCACTCATTTCGTCAACTCTCAACACTACTGAAGTTGACACTAAACAAGGCGATTCGCTGAAACACGTGCTTGCTGCTGTAATACGATTTCAGCAACTGTTTCCTTGTTAAAAATAAGATACAACAGCGTTGGTACTGAACAGCACCGGTAAGCCTCGACTACAGCTGACAATTATATCAGCGAAAATATTTGATTCGTTAATCGCGAGAGGAGCGCTGTTTTGCATATTATCAATTATAAATAAGAATCACTTCTTCTTCGTCAGTGGTCCGGTGCACCGAAGATTCAACCATACAATCATGAGGATCAATCTACCAATTACTATTTCTTCGTATCTGAATCAGCATGATCTTCTGAAGAAACAAGATGTAATGTTTCATGGAGTTGTACTGGCGAGACCGATGCAGTCAATCAGGTAGATTCAAAGTATTCGCTTAAAGGTCGACAATTACTGTGCATTATCAGTCAAGTGCTGATGTGAACAAAGAACTGGGTTCAGCAATATGTTTACGTCGAGTAGAGCATAACTCCTCCAATACCAGATTTCCCGGCGAATTCCACCACCCTGTTGATCCTGATTGTTTCGGGTGGCGTGGTCATTCAAGCAGGCCACGATTAGACGGCATTTAAGCACCTATACTACCAGATGCGTCTCACAAGCGAACTCGCGCTCGTCGCGGACGATGATTCAGTAGATGATACTACTTCTGTATTACCGCATGAACATCAAAATATGTTCGGACAAAGGAGTACGTCAGGTAGCTCATAACTCCTTCGAGATCGGACCAATATGTTAATGTTGTATATAGTCCGTTCAACTAGTATATACATATTTTGCGTTGGTGTATAGTCCACTACCAAGGGCAAAATTCTATTGTACCGTTAAGCATATTCGTCGCATCACTGTAGCTAGCATAGTTACAATTGGCTAGAATGATACCTTAATCAGTGCTAGTAATGTCCTTGACCCGGAACTTGATACATGCTTTAACATTAACATCAAACAGTAGATTCGAACGCCACGAATACGATAATAATCGTAACTGCGTTCAGTCGGTTCGGCTAGCCCATGACTCCACCCTCCTAGTTGGTAAGGGTATAGAACCAGGCTACGGCTGCTATATATATATATATCCACAGAGTACAGACGTATCGACGGGTCTTACAACATCAGCGACTAGAGTAACACACCTTAGTCTTTGTTGACGACACTTCATCAGTCGATGCTCTGTTGGTACTTACGCACTGAAAACAAACATTATTAGGCTGGCTGAGAAAACTAATATTCCCCTTTATTTACGTTTACTATAAACATTGAAATATTGGGGAAACTGATGCAGATGTTTATTATAGCCTAGCTGTGCACTGTAGAAATGCTGGACTCGAATCAATTTTGTAATTCATTGCCAGTTTGGTTGCGCCTACTGTGCTTCGGTAAAAGCAGCTGAAAAATCGTGGTGGGAGGGGGCATGTCCATGACCTGCGCATGATAGAGACAGTATGGCGATGTCGGACGTTGCAATATCACGGACCGACGTTGGTCGATCGACAGAACGCCGGACTCGAAACCGAGACGCCTGGGGTTCGAGCCCGATGAGGATCAGTCGCCTTGGTTCGGTCTGAGGTTGACGAACGAGTACCATTCTGTGGAAAGGAAACAGGAAACACCACAGAATGGTCCTCGTTCATCAACCTCAGACGGAATAAAGGCAGTTTACCCTCAGCGGGCTCGAACCTCGGTTTCGAGTCCGACGCTCCACCGATGGACCAACGCCGGCCTATGATCTCACAACTTCCGACATCGCCATACCGTATGCTGGCAACATAACTGCTATCAGCTCTGCCATTAAAACAAGGTGCTCTTTCTTGACTGATGGCATTGAAAAAGAAATGAGCGCTCCATCGCTAACGCCAGAAACAAAGGTAGAATTGGTCCCATCATGAAAGTGTTTAAACATACATGACTGACATTCCAACGTGGTTACAAACTTTGCTACTTTCGTTGACGCCCAATGTCCGACGGACGTATTTTACGACTAACATTCGTTTTGATCCACTTGGCAGCCGAGACTAAGTTGGCATAAATTGTAAACTGTGAAGTAAAAAGAAATTAAAATTTAAGCAAAAGTTTATTTTTTCTAGTTATATATAAAAGTCATAAGTTGTTAATTAAACCAACGGACAAACTTTATTTTTGCAGACTTGCTCCGTAGGTGTTTTCTAGCGAAAATGCGTTCGTTCAGAAGGTGACAACCGACGAAACGACCAATATAGTGGCGACTGAAGCAAACTTTGCCGATCAGCCCAATACGGACTTTGGTATAACGGATACCCCGTGCTACAAAAAGATGCTCGGCGATGAAAGTACGGATAAGCGTGCAGCTTCGATGCTGCCGCTGATACGGAAACAGCACAAAGGATAGAAAATATCACCCAGTCAGCCGACAGACCAATCGAGCGACCGACCAACTGACCGATCGCACAAGCTGGTCGTTGGTAGCTGAAGCACCGTAATAAAAAAAACATCTGTACTGTAACAAACGGTTCGATCCGGATGTCGCTACAGACGCACTAGTCTAGCGGTAAACAAGTGTTAGGCATGAATGTTACGGGATACAACGACTATCAGGTCGTCACGTGCACGGATCAAACGAAGCACGCTAGCAGAGTCCGATTTTACGGGGACGCAGGATTCCAGGCACTCGGACAGAAGTCCCATAAAACAGCAACGTACGTGCTTATACAGTAAAGTACTATAACAGTGACTATCAGTATCGAACACCGTTCTTTCTGCTGAAAACAGCGAAATCCATCCCCCCAACGGTTCGATTCGTTTTATGGGGACTGCTCTTGTTAAGGTGAAAATTCGTAAATCGATTGATGAACCTCCCATCGATTTCGGTGTAAACTCTCTCACTGACACCCGACTACTGAAAAAACAGCATATGTTACAATACTATACGATCACAGATATCAAAACAATCAAATTTTGTAATAACTATCACAAATACTTCATGGTGTAAAGCACTGATTTCTATCTGTTTCTTAGCCGACCGATTGACGGTTCGCAAAAGGTTTGAAATTCAAACCGTACCGAACAAAAAGCTATCACGAGACAACTCGGTAGTCTTTTCTGTCGTGTCTACAGTACAGCTGATGGTAAAATCTGCTTTCAACGGTAGATCTGCACCGAACATAAGCACCGTGCTTATATTAAAGATGATAAATGAACTGCTGAATAGAAATAGTTTGTTTGTACAGTCTGAAAATATATTCTATGACACGCAATGAAGAAGATGTCCACAAGGTACGCATGTGTATATATTCCCATGTGTATGTTTCTCTGTGTGCGCGTGTGTGATGTATCACATCCACAACGAGTAGATGATGACTGCAGCGGCCTGAGAAAACAATTAGATGAACTGAAAGGCAGGTCTGATCCAAAACGAGAATGGAACTGTGTTTCTAAAGTATTTCTCGCATGGGAATCGTTCATTGGTTGCACAGATGGAGGACAATACGAACAAGAAAACACCACGTGACTGTAACAAAGAACAGACAGAAATGACTGTATCATCAACGCTTTATAAACGAAATGCAACAAGCTGATTGAGCAATGACACACAAATTCATTTCAAGTTCATGAACAGACATTTACTCATTTCAACTTCCATAAACGACCTCGAAACTCAAGGTCTGGCGTCACTATAGTGAAGAGAGGAAGAGCGATCAACATAAGGAATCGATGACGGAGTGAAGACGATGGAGTAATAATCGCCTGGTCGTTGCCGTAACGATGAAGGCCGGTGACATTCGCTGAAACGGTTGGCTGATGAACAAGCAAAAATATTCAGGGGTGGCAAAACAGTTTCTCTATTTCAATGATTAGTGCTGGCCGATGAGAAGGGCACGCTGACCACGAATCTGGACGGAATGATTACGGGTTACCATCTTTATTAGTTGAAAAAAAATGTGACTAACATTTTCATCATCATCGTCATCACCGTCAACTCTTCAGACGGAAAATTCTACGCTTCACAGACAAAAGAACAAAATGTATTCTTTCCTACACCACGGAGCAGTGGTTCAAGAGATTAATTTCAACTTTCGTTACTCGTATAGGTAATTGTTTGTAATTGTTTTTGTTTTAAAACCTAGTTAATTATGCAGTTTGTGTCAAATTTGTGCACAGACTCATCACGCCATTTAATTTGAACATTTATCACAAGTCACAAAATAATCACATTGGGACATGATGACAATGCTGTTGGCATCATTGCTCACTGTCATTGTATTAAAACCAGTGATAAGAGTGTACAAATCAAAAAACGTTAAGCACACGTATGTAACAACTAACTACCAAATAACCAAATAAATAAATTAACAACCTACTATTAAGACTATTAAGAAAATTGACAGTCAACACAGTAACAGTGACAACGGAATAATAACGGTACGCTCACTGTATTGAAACTTGCCAGGCAGATAACACTGCCAGCAAAATAGCAACAGCACGAAGACTGTTGTCTCGGATATCAACTATGAAGATAAATGCCGCTTGAAGCTGTGGATGACTTCATTTCTTTAATGGTCCAATGAAAGCAACAATTTCGAAACAACACGATTACCTTCTTGAAAATAAAGTGTTTATGCTTTTTTATTTAAACCGGTTTCCATTTCTAAGATTTCGTCATGCAACTCTGTGTGTGGCGTGCATTTTTGGGATCGCCACCTTCTTCCACTGCATATGCAGAACGCCTCTGGTTTGTGACGTTCGGTGCATCGCAGTTTCTCAACACTTTCATTGCAAGGTACCGGTTACTGTCTAGTCGAAAAAAACATTAGTCTTCTCTGGACGCAGAAAACCGCCTCCACGTTGTTCTTTCATTTTGTCAGAGTCGACGTCCGTCATGTTTTGTAGAAGCCATACGGTAAACTCATGGGTTGAATTAAGTGGTCTATATTCGACCGATGTTTCTAACGGGACAAACCTTGTTCACAGAATCTCGGCACCTTCTGAGGTCACTTGTACCCGGAAGAGAACGCATCTGGTATGTCGGCAAAATAGGGTCGGTCCTGAACGGCACATGAAAAAGTGGTGCATTCATGCGCTAGACATGATAGCTAGTAAGATCATGCTTGCTGGCATTCTCCAGTAGTACGAAATCCTTTTTTCGATGTTGCAGCAAAAGCACAGAATGAGAACAACGAAGAAAAACGTTACTCTTCATGAGCAAGGCATTGCTCTGGTTACTAAACAGATGTCTGCAGTTACAAAGAACATGGAGTGGTGGCCGGTTTAAACACCCTTACATAATCAAGGGATAAAGAATGACGACGTACCGTAAATAAACTAAAATGTGGATAACAATAATTAACATAATGCCCTGAGAAACCCGTATTTTAGACGTTAGGAGAACAGGTACTACGACAGAATACAAAATGATGCGAGATGTATTCAGCAGCGTGCAACAGCTAAACCATACTGTGGAGTAATCGGCTGCTTCAACTGCCACCTATTGTATCAGCCTTCATTTCATGAAACCTCTGGTGAGACGCTGATTATTCGCTTCTATATCTTATTTTTATTAAGCTTTAAAACGGAACATTCTTTTTTTATTCGGGAGGTTAATTCAAAAGTTTTCACGTTCCTCATGCGACTGCTTCTCATATATACTTAATTAGAAAATAACCGACATATGAAGTAGTAGTGAAGACTGTGCGTTGACAAAGAAGCGAGTATCGCTCGAAACGTCGGTGATTTCTGTAACAAAGAATACGTACGGAGCGATCTCATAAAAAACATGAAGACTATGGAGTTTTCTTTAAATCCTAAACAGAATTCACAGCTACGCGGCAAGAGCATAGAGTATAGTTTCCCGGTTCCTTCGGACAGAGTAGTAATACTCATTTATCAATCTCGGAAGGAAGGACGCGAGGGACTCTGACCGAGACTAGAACCCTGCACCTCTCGATTCTGAGTCAGCGACGTTCTGTCGAGAGAGAAAATCCGGTTTTAGACGAGATGAGTAAGTTTTAGACGAGACAGTTTGTAATAGCACAATGCGCTAAATTGCGTCAGCGTTAAACGAAGCAAAGGTAAAACATTTATGGGTTTCTGAATGACAAGAAGACGTTGAAATGCAGTATTTATTACTGCCAGAAATAAAAACAAAAAATGAAGATACGAGAGTTATTTTTTAAAAGACTTGAGAATATATTGGCTTCGATTTTTGTTTTTATACCAGCCCAAAGTTCGAAACATATAGATAACGGACAGCATTCGGTAGCGATGAGAAAATTTCTCCTTGTCAAATTGACGATCGGCCTAAAAGCAAAGTCCAACGACTGTTGCCGAAGTTTAAAGGAACGGGAAGCGCACGACTACGGCACCAGTTATGCATCACATGTAGATGACATGGCAAGAAAATAACTATAAAAAAATTCTTGAAAACAGTTACCGTTATGCGTATCGAGCAGCTGGACGGCAGAAGTCGGGAAAATGCCGACTTTCTGCGAAACCTTCGGGCCGATCACCGATCCTTTCCAGTAGTGGTCGTTGTGGCGACCAACGATCTACAAAAAAGTAAACAATAGATAACAATCATGTAGCAAGTGTACGGATCTGTGTGTACCATGTGTGAAGAAGATGTCGAAGAACGGGAACCCGGACCCGTTAATTCCCCCAACGAAGGAGGTAATAAGTGGGAAGTAGCGTTTTTATTGTCGATTGAGGAAGAGAAGAAGCCACACAACAAACTGGTAAATTTCATAACGATGGCTTTACGGTTGATCGATCGGTGGCCATCTGAGACGGAGACGGAGACGGAGGAAGAGGAGGACGAGGAAGAGGAAAAGAAACAAGAAGAAAGCGTAAAAGAAGAAGGGTTAGTCGACGGAACGCGTACTTCGACGTGTAAATGACAGCGAAGAAACCATCGACCACCAAGAAAGCATCGTTTTTCGTCCGCGTGCGTCCGGAATGATTCGCGTATTTTTACGGCCTCGATGTCGACGACCTTGGTTTCGCGTCATTTGGTGGATGGGCCGATGTTCTTGACTCAAAACAGCTTCCGCTAGTGTGATGGTTGCAAGACAAGCCAGCGAAACGCCGATGCCTCAGAACAAGTATTTGGAAGAACAAAAGAAGAGAACAGGAAGAGTGCCGCAAAACGAGACGAGAGACGAGTCGGCGTTCGTTCACTAGCTGTTCGTTTGTTCAGTCGTTTTCTGGTGCTTCGGAATGAAGTATGGCAGCAGAAGTGCCGATGTCACTGCGTCAATCAGATGGACGGATCTTCGACCTGTCATCCAGTCACCATCAGCCCAAGCAGCCAGCCAGCCAGCCTTTTCACCATCTCAACTTTTCGCCACCACAGCCGCCGACTCTGGCGTTCAAAGTTTGTTTCGAAAAAGAAAGCACATCGGTTGCAACGGTGATCGGTGTGCTGTTTACCTAACATTGTCACCGTCATCTTCTATAAGTTGTCAAGCCAACAATACCGGTTCTTCGGTTGGTCGGTGAAATTTCGCCAAACCGCCTGCCGCGGCAAAATTCTCCGGCTCGCAACCATCGCACTGCGTTGCACACCACACCTGATTGCTCTTCATCTTTTGCCATCGACAAACCAAGTGGACACGAAGAAGAAAAAAATGCACGAATTTCGCTTTCGGCGCTTGTCTCCAGCTTTGTCCCCCCCGTCAAGTCGGTATGTTTGTAAAGAACACCGCCGACGCCTGTTCAAACACTCGTCGCACAACTCCTGCGTTCGCCAACACCACCCGCCGGGACTCAAGCCAGATCGGTCGTCGTTTGGTCTGTGCCGTCTCTCGTTTCGTTCTGCCCGACTTCCATTTCCATACACCCCACTCACCAACAGTGGAAAGCGAAGCGATGAAAACTATTTTTCATTCATCAACGCCAAAATACTAATTACACAGTATCACACGTTATTACCGTAGACAGATAATATGTGGCAAACGCAACTCGTCAAACAGCTGTGATCAGTTGGTGACTTTAATAACGAACGGATGTGAGTGCACATGTTACGACTATCAATCAAGAAAAACAATGATTAAGATCGCTGGCAGCTTGTTAAAGCACCTCGACTTGTTCCTTCTTGTGGAAAACAGTCATGGAGGATGAAAGGCACTCCAACAATGAAAAACTCAACAATTATCTTTTTTGATTTGCTTCATCAATCACAAGACCATTACGGCTATAATCACAATGGTTATGTTCGGTCAACCGAAGCTCAGACATTTCCGACGTTCGTTTTAAATGATTAGACTTAGACTGTATGATCGCATTCCCTCCATATGCTTTTAAGAATTGGATGAGAAAATGAATAGCAGATCTACTATCGGCTTCAATTAAGGAATTTACGGATTTATTGTTAAAAACTTTCTCTCACTGCGGATGTCACCCCGCAAAACGTCTAACGATGATCATGCCAAGCAACAGAAGTTTGGCAAAAACGGCATTCGTTTACCATATTCAACCATTACTCATTTCGCACTACCAGGAACGGCAGTGGTGTGATAATTAATCGGATAGCAATAATAGCAGATAGCGTGATCTTTCAGCCGGATTAAATTCTACATACCGATACTGCAACTAAACGTTGCATACTAAGTTCACGAAAGCAAAAACCGAACATCGCGAAATCACAGTCAATTCGATACCGTACTATAAATTTATTAGTCATCTCTCCTCTTCGTCCTTGGACGCTACGGAATCGCAAGCTGACCATTATGTTGGTGAGGTCATTGCTTTGAATCATTTGCATACCAGAACTTCTCTGGCTTATCATCTCTACTGTATTTTCAGTTTCCTAACATGCTTCCTCTCAAGCATCAGTTACAACCTCTCCGAACGCATTTTCCTCGACAACGTTCGTCGATGTTGCTTATTGCTTACTAGTCTCCTAGGGGACGTCTGTGATGCTTCGGTTCCTACGTGAACAGTGCGCGGGACGAAACAGTTCTTATTCATTCAGTTTGATTCACAAAAACAACCTTCTTTTCATAAACCTCCACATCTGCTAAGGACAACTTTGGTCAGAAGACAATAGTCATTCCATATACAGTCGTGCAATTAAACTTGGCCGTTCAACCGCTACCCTTGGTAACTCGGTAACACGAGGTCTCCATACCATATATAGCACCAATCACCTGATCGCGGCATGATGTTCAAGCAGCTTACCGTGAAAAACAATATGCCATTACTAACCATCATATAAACTCTCGGGCCATCGTCGCATTTAGCGTCAACTGTCATTGAAAGTGTCCTTCTCAGTCCTATTTTTACTACGTCAAAGTGGCAGGAGGGTCACAACTGGTTCTCAAGACGATGTACAGCTGAGCCTCTAGGCTCTGATAAGATGAACCCCACTATAAATGCTTGAAAAGTCATCGAGGATAACAGATACGTGGTACCTGAAACTGTCGACCTGCTCATAACACGTTGTCTGCGATTTGCCTCGGAAGCGTCGTAAAAATTTCTATGTCAATACTTAACATGTATTGTAAGCGCACCGCGAGCATGATCCTCTTTTCGCAACCTCACTGTACGATGGACCCAGCGAGTTGATTATGTAAATGACGGAAGGCAGTACAATGAATTCGACGATGACAGCGTTTCGGACGAAATCATGTCACTTGATGCTGAGGAACTCTCTCTCTCACTCCTCAACTGAAAAGCCAGAGATGCAAACATCCATGATTTGCAGTGTGAAGGTCTCAACTAAATGCAACAGCTCCGGAAGAATATATGGCCAAATACACTCACATATCGCTAACTTCTACATAGGCGTTACATTACTCGTACAGACGTGTCGTCAACTGCGCAGCTGCAACTACAGACTAACGATGCAATGGCAGCCGGATCCGAATTGTGGCTGTCGTTGTTTAAGACAAATTCATATACGAAAATGTTCATTCAATACAATTTGGACCGATGTATACCAGAGACGTGACCGTTAATTGACGAGGACATGATGTACCAACACTGAGGAGTACCTATCATCAGAAGTTGGCTGTACTCAGTCCTAAGGAAATCACGTTTCTTACTTTTTCTCCCTCTGTTTGCAGAAGAAATAGTACGTTGAAAGGAAAACTTTCTACAGCCGACGAGCACAACAATGGCAGCAAAATCCCATCTCCATTCAACCAGTTTCTCTCCCTTCCTAATGAAGAACTCCCTCTTTGAATTTCTCCCACTGCTGCCGATTCTCTCTACAGTTTCAGCCAGGTTCAACAAAACAAACGTACGTTTCCAAAAACATTTAGAAAACCGTAATATCAACTTACCCACAGTATTTCGCCCTTATGTAGTGTCAGTTCTCCGGAGGACTTGGCCGAATAATCACGAACGACTCTTCCATACGATACCTGCGAGGCTTCTAAAACGCAAAAAAAACAACTGTTAGTTTGGCAAATAACGGCTTCCATTTGCGCGGTCACTCTGACAGGTAAGAGAAAACAGAAGCAAAGATCTTAAACTCTGGTGATAGACAATTACCAGTTGGCTAATACCGATTAAAGCTGCTTTACAACAATAAAATGATGGGTAAACAAGGACTAGGGACAGTAAGGCAACTGTTCAGGGGATTATAATGAACGAAAGGCAACAACACGGCGTAATATCGAAATTGACTCTAATGATTTGCTTTTAATAGCGGCATACCGTCTGAATAGATTGTTTATTATCTGTACAGCCAATAATGATACTTTAGAAAACGCGAACAGTCTGTCTGGGACTGGACCGGGTGAGGGGGAGGGAAGAGAAACAACCAACATTTCCAGTTCCGCATTTGCACATGAACGCAGTTAACATCGTCTACCATCACAAGAAGATAGCCAGCTAGATTCCGTTTAACGCCCAAGCGGAGTCAAGAAATCAACACATATTATTTAAGTAAAAAGTACTCTTTAAATATGATGAAAAGAACCAAACTACTTAGAAAAACGAGTGCTACTGCCCATAAGAATAGGAAGAAAAAAGGAGATGCGCGATTCTCTTTTTCCAAAACAATACAACAGACAGAATGAACTATTTTATAATACTTTTTTTGCTGATCCAGTGAATTTTAATATATTGGTGAACCCTCGTAAATATATTAGTGAACCCTAATGGTAAAAAGAATATGGTACTTCTAACATTGCTCATGAATCAAACATTCAAAACTATCACGCCATATAAAGCACAACACAAAATTATCATTTTTCTATAGCTTTGAGCAACTAGTCCAAAACTGCGAGCTACTGCACAAAGATGTGAACAAGATGCGTACATCTAAGAGAGCACCTCAATCTCATATATCTTCCCTCATCATTTCCAGTACTCTCTGTTCCATGCAGTTACAAGCCTTTACAAAAACCTCCTGAAACAATCATTATCAGCATTTGTCGATCCACTTCTGGACGAAGACCCCTCCAAGATAATGCCAAAGACTTCTGCTTTCTGCATCCTGAAACAACGGTAGACGCAAAAAGTTAAAGGGCACAGGCTAAAAACCTGTGGCAAACGTATGGAACTACCACGTTAAATTACCACGTAAATCATACCCAAAAGTATAAACTATGAGCATATGAACTACTGATCCGAGAGGCCTACCTTCAAGTACTACATGGTTTTCTTAAGCAAGGACTATTTCTCTCCTTACAGCATCCCTAATTCTAAAGTCGACAAAGCTTCACAAAACGAATTACTCGATAAGAGTTTCCTAACGCATTTACTGTTGAGATCGAGCGTAACCATAATATGAGTACAAGAGAATAATACATCACAAATAACTTTAACAATAATAGAAATGAAAGTATTAATATATCAGGCCATCATTTCACCATACGATATCACAGAAACTATCTTTAAACACATACCAATGGAAAAGATTATGAAATTATCAGCGACTCTATCTAATAGTGAAGGAGCTTATTCAACTACCGCGCTTCTTCACTCGAAAAATTTTTTATTCTTTAAGTCAACAACCCCGCACGAACAAAACTGTCAACAGATGTATATTCGTGCACTGGTGACGCTAGAGGGAGCGCAGTACCAGTGGTAAAAAGCTATTAATGATTGACCACATTACAAAACTGACCACTGTCGGTAAAAAGGAGAAAGAAGTCCATATCCATTAGTAAATGAATACCTCAAACCTTGACTCCGCTCGCTGTCAATCGAGAGTACATTCGTTACCTCAAGAGAAACCCTTCTGAGTCACGATACATGATTCTACATGCATTTGCTGATGCGATCGAAGATAGTCTTCTACTGCCGCCTCCGTCGCCTACTCCGCCGACCGTCTGTCGACACCAGCATCCTGCCGCCGAAGCACATGCAAACGATTCAACACGAAACCTGTCATCCGTGGACGCGAAAACAAGTCGCTATGATAATCAGTTTTTTGGATCTTCTGTGGTTCTGTGGTTCAGCAAGTCACAATTTACCAAGGGCTGCACTTTCCTGTTCAGTCACTTGCACTCGTTCACCCGTTATCGTCGGCTGTTCATACATGAATGCTGCACATGTGCAATGCACAATCCGTTGATGCCGATTTTTGAGGTAGGCCACAATATCGCCTAACTTCATTTCTGAGACACATACTATCACCATCATTCGTTGCTGTCGTTACGACTTTCATATTATATAACTATAATTCCATACCACATAATACCGTATACCGAATTAAGCATATGTCCACTTCCATTCGGGTCATACTACGTTCACAGCTAATAATGTATGTCAATCGGGGCAAAACGACAACCTTCAGCAAGTACCCCTGCTAACATGTCGTGAAAATTTTTCAAGGACATACAAAGCAAAGAATGTCGTCATTTGACAGTGAACAGCCCGTCATTTTCAACCCAACGAGAGAAGGAAAAGCATCTATCGATTATACAAGGTCTAGTTATGTACTACTTAAATTATGACCGGTACACCTCCTTTAGGGGCAGGATCGTTTTGTTGTTTTTGGTGTGTATTGACTCAACTAACATCAACGGCGGACAGTAACTAATGATAACAATAAAAACAGCTTCAGCTTGACGAAGATCGGTTAGGAACAAACCTCTACTCCTCAAATGCATAACAGTCCTGAAGTCGTATAAACTTTTATATGATTATTGCTTTATAATAATTATGTTGCATGTGTTAATATAAGTTATATAAACCAAATTATGAATGAAAGAAGAATTGCGGGTTTTGACGCGTATCCTAATCCCACTGAAAGCGAAGCCTAACTCGTTTCATAACAGGATAAAAACAACAATGCGTGAGGAAGATGTACGAACAATTCGGATGAACGACACGAGGAAATTTGCGACAACCATCTCTGAACAAAAAAATCAAGCGTAATAACGATGTCTTAACTTCTAGTTTGACCTAGTCATATAAAATACGTTTTCAGATAGTTGATATGACCATTAACTTATCAATGAATTACTCAATCTCTAGAAAACAAGAAACAACTCAAAATATAAAAGTACAGGTAAAAAGGAATTCAAGTTAAGGTTAGGTGGTTCCCCAAGTTGGATAAGCGAAGCTGTTTCAACGATGTAACAAAATGACGTAGTGAGGCAACCCGTATGGTCTTCACGTGTGGTACATGGTGTTGAGCATCGCATATGCCCCCCTGTCTATTATTTTACTGGAAAACGACAACGAATAATGTAGGTGAGAGTAAGACGGGCATCGAGAGTCTTCTTCGACCAGGTGATCGAAATGGCCCATACCGAGGCATATCTCAAAAGTTAAAGAAGTGGGGAACACGATGTTAATTAAGGTCAAACAGGCAAACCCTTAGCAGACGATCTACAGTCGGGACGACGAACAACGTGAACAAAGAGTGTCGTCGGAAACAACTCTCGACACCAAACTTATAACTATTCAGACAAGAGATGCTTTTCTGATCGTAAAAACTGACAAAACGAAGAACAACGCTGGCAGAACAGAGTGGGGTGAATCAGCGCACCGTAAAATGCATCAAGATCTCCTGTATCAGCCATACAATCATGATCCGTTAATCCAACAATATTGGATTCCTCGCATGTACCGTATGAACCGATGAGTACACCGTACATCGCCTCAGATAGTAACCCCTAACTCTGGTTGTTATCGAACCAGACTGATCAACGACATGAAGCCGGAAACATTTTCAATGTACTTATCGATAAACGATTCTCGTCAAGAAACACTGTATCCTCGAAGGTTATTTACAATCAACGAAAAATTTGAATAAACACCACAAAAAATGTTTATCACTGATAATGCAACGTGGCAGTCTATCGAAAGATCTACCAGTTTATGGATAATTTTTTCCGGTTTTTCCACACGACACGACCCTCACAGCAAACAACAAATTACGATCCCCTATGCATTGCGGAAGAAAAGAAAAAGGAATGAAAATTTGTAACCGTTGGAATGTCGGTCTTCGTTGTACCTGCATGATGAAGCAATTTTTACGCAGCTTTTCTTTTCTCTTGAAGTTAACGGTGGGACACACTTTCACTTCCTCTCCATGCCGCAATCCAGCAGTACCTTACTTTAAACGCAGAGTCAACAGCAGCTTGTTACAAGCATATTGCGTGACAGTTTGTTGGTTCCTTTCCACAGAATGGTACTCGTTTATCAACCTCGGACCGAAGAAAGGTTAGTGATCTCGATCGTGGTCGAACCCCGGACCTCTCGGTATTAAGTCTAACGCCCCACCGAAAAGTGACCCCGGTCCTGGTTTTATCTCGAAGAATACCCATAAAATTCAGACCGAAACGTCGGCATTATTCTATCATCGGTTTCTTTGTTTCAGTATCACTTATCACCACATGAGCAAAATTTCCAACGCCATAGAAAGTTGTGACTTCTTTGATTGAACTCGTCTAAAGTGATCGTGGTCCTACAAATTTCGCTGCTCGTATTCATTAGCTCATCTTCATCTATAAAAACTTTTGCATTCGAGGGGGGTGGGGCAGTTTCATCCAGACTGGTCTTCCTCAATTCGAGAATGTTCCAATCGCCCTGACTACATAGTAAGTCATTACAATTCTGATGTATCACAGCTGGAGTGGAGAAAATAATAAGTATTCATAAAAACTGACAATCAGCATTGCAGGATTTTGTGGATATATGATCATCTTCTTGTAACAGTTTGCCACTTGTTTTAGCTAAAAAGTCATTAATATCTTCATTAGATTTATTTGACATTTCTGTCTTTTTAAATATACTGAAAACAACATTTGTTGATGACACTGTTCAAGCAGTAAATTTTGCACCTTATTCGGTTTTGGCAAGTGTTCAACTGATGCTCAGGAACGGAATGACGGAATATATGCACAAAAGAATGCCGCAACATCGACCACCAGGCGGCCTCATGATCTCTTATGCAGTTTAGTATGTTTACTTCCGTAAGTTTAAGGTCTGATCATAAGCATTCCGAAGACTGCAAGTTAAGTCACCGCCCTTGGCGGAACCACGGCCATTAAAGACTCTGGCATTCGCCGCAACGACACAAAAAACGGACGCCCTCTTTAACTACGGTGAGTCCAGAGCCGCTAGTTCGTCATTAAAATAGATTAAGTACTCATTAACAAACTGTACTATCATAGCTAAATAACTGAACGTTGGTATAACGCCCCTTCCTAAGATTCGGCGGCTATAATTCGAACGAGAGCCACGTTTTTAAGTGACAAGACGTTTCGCCATTACGCCGAGCACTTACGACGTGCTATAAACAT